ACCCGACGTCCTCCCACCCGCGGCCTGTGTTCACTCCGAGGGAAGGAGCGCAGAGCCGTGTGTACGACGCCCTTTAGATAACAAATCACATTTTCTTCTCGCCGGCAAGTGTGTTGAATTGATATTCTTCCCCTCGGTTTAATGGGTTTGTGTTCAGGAATGATCTTCATCAACCGAAACTCCTTATTGTGTTTGATGTAACGTCAGCTTTCATTACGCGCTCAGGGTCGGAGCCTGGGCCCCAGCTCCTGGAGCTGGTGGGTGGGCGGGAGGGTGTGGGGGGAGGCGAGGGGGAGATGTTCGGGAAGCGGGGTTGAGCCGGGTTCGAATCCTCTCTGCCCTGGTGTCTTCATGTGCATGGCCGGGTCCCAGGGCCGTTGGGAGGACCCATGTGCCAAGCGCTAGGAGAGCAGACGCCTCAGACTGCAGCCATCGGGTGGCCCGGTCCTCCATGCATCAGAGGCTGTGGTCCCAGGCGCCTGCACTGTGCCCGCGGGTCCAGCCCGTCCCCTGCACCCCCAGACCAGTGGGAAACACCTCACGACTCTTCCCTCCAACCGTGGCCTCAGACCAGCACCTGGGCAGTCACCAAGGCCAAGCCCCTCCCGGGAGCAGAGGAGCCTGAGCTCAGAGAGGGAGCAGTGCAGCCCTGAGGTCACACAGCACCGGGGCCCAGCCAGGCCCGGGTCAGAGCAAGTGCTGGCGCTGTGCTTGCTGTGTTACAGCCACACCCTTGGGGTACACTGGGTCATCACCCCCACTTTCAGATCACACAGAGACAGGCTCCCGGAGACCGAGGGACCGCAGGGCTGAGGAGCACGGGGGAGGTGACTCGGACACTGGCCTCTCCCAGGTGCTGGCCCTGCTGCCCATCAGGGCGGGGGAGGGTGGCCCTCCTGCACGGGTGGGACTTGATGGCACCAGATTCACCTCCTGGCGGCCTCTCCCAGCCACGCTCGGTTCTGATTAAAGATCATTAGACATGAAATTAGCCCGTTTGTGTCACGGGCCTCCCGGGTGGCCGGTGATTATGACGTGCAGATGGCC